TTAAAATGCAAGATTAGATCCTAAAACTAAAACAATTTTGTAGCCAAATTTAAAAAAAAAATTGGAAATTAAAATATTTATCAAATGTTTTTTTCAAAACGCTTTATTTTGATTAAAAACATCCTGAAAAGATTAAATTTTGAAAATAATTTTACATAATTTCTACAAAATCTTTTTGACCAAAAATGACACAAAGTGTCTGAAAGAAAATTTCATTTTTCACCACAATATTCTGCTTTTACGTCATGGTCTCGTGGCCACACTCGGCTGGCAGCACCTCCCTCCCACGCGCTCCGTCTTGGAGATGTAGAGGAGAGGCTCAATGCTGCTGCTCAGGTCCATGATGCAGAAGACGCAGGTAGTTACCTGGCAGTTGTAAACCACAAAGGAGTAGTATGAAGCGAAGGGCATGAGTGCCACAGGCGGCAGGTAGTTGGCTACGATGATGGCCAGGATGATGAGGACCATCTTAAAGGCCTTCTTCTTCACTGGGTGCATCTCCTCTTTTCCCAGCACAGAGCGCCGGAGGACCCAGATGATGGAGATGTTGCAGAAGACCATGACGGCAAAGGCAAACAGGATGATGCCACTGAAGATCTCGTAGACACCCAGGGACCCCAGGAAGGACTTGCTGATGCCATAGGCCAGGATAATACCCCAGACCAACACTGAGACACCGATGCGGATCCTGTTGTCGCGGACCTGTGCGAATAAAACTGGGTGGACCACAGCCATGTAGCGGTCCAGGCAGATGCACACCTGTAGGACGATCAGAGAGTAAGTGTGATCGCAGTGAAATATTATGACTGGGTCTAAGTTGTACTGTAAAGGAAACATGTGGTGGGTATTTTTCCAAAGCTTTGTCCAGTTTTTATACAAAGTCTATGGCTGTAATATTCAAATTCACATTCTCTTCAGTCCTTCAATCTGAACTAACCCTAAGTAAGTTTTACTGTTGGGGGGACAGTACAGAAAACACATAGAGTATTTACTGTGAGACAGCCGTCCCCACCATTTTTTTTTGCGGTCTCGAAGGTGTGGCGGATAAAATACAACTAAATAAAAGATACGACCGGCATAAAAACTGTGCGATAAAACAGGTATTTTCTAAATATAATAAATGTTAATCCACTGTGTAGTCAACTTTATTAGCTGCGTCCTCGTAACATCGATGGAGGAACTAATGTAAGTCATGTATTGTTTCTGTGCGGCCCGGTACCTATTCACCCATGGACCAGTGCCGGTCCGCGTCCCGGGGGTTGGGGACCACTGCTATAAGGCACTCAGGGTCTGATCTGATCAGTGCATGCAAACCAATGGGCTAAATGATTTGGTCCAATACCTGATCATTTGACTATCAGAGTTCTTAGAACTTACATTAAAATGTCCAATAAATAATTTGATTCCATAACTCACCAAAAACAGCGGCGCTAAATCTTTGACCCCGTAGGCGAATCTCTGGAAATACCACAGACGTCCACTGGACAGCACAAGCCTGTTGGCCATATCTACGGGTCCCATCAGGCAGAAGTAGGTGTCCAGGATGGCCAGGTTGAGGAAGAAGATGTCAGAGGAGACATCACTCCTCCTAGTGGCGATCTGCCAGATGACCAGGACATTGCAAGGTGTGCCCACCGCCAGGTTGAACATTTTGCCCGTAAAGTAGAAGACGTAGCCGTACGGCGCCACTACGCACTCGGGATACTGGTACCAGAGTGGTGGACCACGCGGGCCGTCGGGTGTCGTTGAGTTGTTGTAGGAATTAGTGGTGAGATTCAGCGTGGTGTTAGACATTGTTGACGCTGGAATAAAAGGTTCAGTGGGAAATTTTTTAAACATTTTAAACATTTAAAAATAAATTCAGCGTTTTAATTTAAATTCAAATATGAAAGGTGCTTACCGTGGCTGTCCTCTGAGCGTGTGGCAACACATCATCAGAGACAAAAGCTTTTTCAACAGTCCACTGGGACAGAACCTATGTTTTCGGATCAGACCAATCTCCGGGACGTCCACGTGATCTGCGCTGAGTCGCAGCCGGACTGTGATTGGACAAAGCTGCGCTAATGTGTTCAGCGATTGGATTATTCCTGTGTACAAATCTGAATGTTTTGATTAGTGATGTAAAGTTCTGGAGTCTTTCAGTGTCGTCGCCTGCAGGGCCTGATCCCAGGGTGACTTTGGGAAATAATTAAAAAATAAAATACGAAAATAAAATATATGAAAAATCAAAGCAATTAAAATTTAAAATTTAACATAGTAACTCAGGGGTACTATGTTAAATTTTTTAATTTTAATTGCTCATGATGCCCGTCGACTGTAAAACTGTTGTCAGCTGGTCTCAGGTCAGATCCTGTATGTTCTCCACGTACAGCAGCAGTGCAGCGGCAGCACTGATGCAACTGTTCAGTAAACAGGTGATGCAAGGACAGAATAAATGAGAAATCTAACGCAAGGTGTTACCGCTGGCCTCGGAGCGAGAGTGTCGGAGTCGAACAAACAGGAAGAAACATTCACCGTCAGCGTCGCTGCTTCAGACTTTTTTTTTTTTATCATTGTACGTTTACATTTTACAGTGTTTATTAATTTTTTCGACGCAGCTCAATTCTGAGGTTAATTAATTTAAATCAAGTTTTTTCAATCAGCTTGCTCCAAAAATATTTGTCTGTCCAAGTACCATTAGTATGACATCAAAATATAGAAATATAAATGAAACAAAAACACAGGTCGACTCTGCTAGACGTTAGACGTAACAAAACTCAATTTAAAAACTTTTTTTTGTTATCTGTTAAACATTTTTTTAAAATAAAAATCTATTTCTACTTCTTGTTGAAAAAGCACAAGATATAAGGGTTAAATTAGGTAACAGTCTTTCCCTCGTCTGACACTAGTTTGTCACCGTCTGTAGCAGTGCTGGGGCTGTTGTACTAAAGTACGACTGTTTGCAGACGACACTCTGCTCGCAGTGGAAAAATTGGCTTTGTATTTACATGTGAATAACGTCTACAATAGTAGCATGTTATTAACTCAACATCCAGATGTCATGAAACACCGACTGCTGGTTTTGCCTGTGGTTATTCAAATGGATGAACAGTGTTTTGTTTTTCTTTCTCTGTCAGGCGTTTCTGTCAGACGAACCCATCACTCATCTCTGTCGGCAGCTCCTAAAAGGTAAAGTGGTTTTTAATGAGTTTAAAGGGTTTGTACTGGACTGTATTCAGTCAGCAGATATTGTCAACTGGTAACTTAAACTTAAATTACAGGGAATAGAATCAATAATTAGCAGAAGAACTTGATGAGAAATTTAAACGAAATATAAATATATATAAACATATATATGAACTATATACTGTATATATATATTAACATATATAAGAAATGACAAAAATATATATAGAAAAAATAAATATATAAATATATTTTTTAATTATGACACACTATGTTCACGTTCACATTCTTACAGACTGTTTACACGTCACCTGAGGTTTCCTTAAGTATAAAATCAGTAAAGTTACTGAGCTCCAATCAGCAGATTTGGTAAAAAAAAAAAAAAAAAAGTTTTCAAAAAATTAAGGATTTAAATCTTATTGATGGCCAAGACGTAAAGCAGTGTGAAATACTGTAAATGATTTGATTTTTTTTCCAGTTTTGTATTTAATTATGTCTCGTTGTTTTAATCTCTAATCAGTGAACTTTCATTTTTGCCTCATTCCAAAATTAACTTTTGGGATGAGGCAAAAATGACTGTTGGTTTTGAATCTTCCACGTTCAGAAGACAAATATAAATTCAGATTTTTTCTCTTCTTTTAAAAAGATCAAATATGATGTGGTATTTGTTTAAAAATGTAGAATGATATTATGTGTTATGTATGGTCTATCTGAGTACAAATATTACATGTACTGTACAAAGTACCAGGAACTGTTGCTCTGTAGCGCTCGGTACTGTTTTATTTACAGGTCACCACAGGTGGCGCTACAGCTTCGTACACTAAAATTAAATATTTAAATAAAATATTAACATAGACGAAACTATCAAAACAACACGCTTTCACTGCAGAATTTGAATGCGATTCATGAGTTAATTTGCCTAGCAGATTAAAAAAAAAAAAAAAACTTTCCAATGAGAAATATTTAATTTTTTTGTTTGCTTGGAAAAAATGAAAAAAGTTAGTTGGTTAGTTAGTTAGTTAGGCCTGATGACAGGAATGATTTTCACAGGTTTAATATGCTGCTTTTAAACAGTTTCACATTTTTACATTTCCAAATATTAAATAAAAAATATATCAGTTGTGTGTGTCACAAAAAGGTTTTTGACTTTTCTGGTTTTGGTGTGAAAAACAAACAAAAAACTACATTAACAAAACTAATTTGAAACTGTTTTAAGATTATGGACCTTTTTTTTTTTTTAGATATTGTCTTTGTATACAGTGTGCTAGCCAACAACATGCAGCGTCCTAGCAGTGCAGCACCGTCCTAGTATCCACTGTTGTTGCCAACAAAAGTGAAAACCCTGCTTTTCCTTCGACAGATCTTCGACAAGTGAAAAACCTGCTTTTCCTTCGACAGATCTTCGACTCTGAAGTCCAAACAGATCTTCAGCGTGAAATCATGCAGTCCTGCAGAACTGGAGGAGTCTTCCGACCTGAGAACATAACAGACGCCTGCTTTTACGAATTTGCGTGGTGCTTCAGTCCAGGGTCTGTTCTGGTGCCCCCGTTGGCCCTGCCCACCAACGCTCTGGTCATACGCCTCCTGATGAGCAAACCCAGGGTGACCTGCACCTCGGAGGTGTTCACGCTGCAGCTGGCCATTCTCGACGCGTTCTTCTGCCTTCTGGTGTTTGGCGAGTACATCAACTTCCTGCTCGTCAGGTCAGTGCTCGAGCTGAACTTCATCTCCTGGGGCTTGAACCACGTGGGCGGACCGGTGCTCCTCTGCCTCTTGGCGTTGGACAGCTACATGGCGGTGTCCCGCCCCGTGCTCTTCCTGCAGCTGAAGAAACCCAAGTTCAGGCTGTCGCTGTGTCTTCTGGTGGACGTCTTCACTGTCGTCTGCTGCTACCTGATGAAGAACACCACCCACGTGAAAAGACCGCTGGTGTCGGTGCTCACCATCTCCGCCAGCGTGATCACCTTCATCTGCAACATCCTGGTCCTGCTGTCCCTCCGTCAAACGGGGCCCAACAAGAAGGAAGTCCATCCCGTCAAAAGGCGAGCCTTCAAGATCGTGCTGACCTCGTCGCTGCTGCTCAACCTCCACTACCTTCCCATGGTGGTTGAGTCGATCCTGAAGTTCTCCGTCCCTCAAGTCTTCAGCCCCTTCTCCTCCCTCACCTGTCTGACCATCAACCTCATGAACACCAGCAGCCTCTTCCAGCCCCTCGCCTATCTGGTCCGGGCCAAGAAGCTGACCCTGATGAGACCCTGCTGTGGACGGTCCGCTGTGTAGACAAAAGACGTCGCTTCTCCAGGTCTGAACACGCACTCTTTTTCTTTTTTCTTCTTCTTATCTTCTTATATAAAATAGAGTGGTATATATAATCTGGTATATATATATATATATGTATATGTACATATATATGTACATATATACATATATATATATATATACATATACATATATATCTGCAGCACATATATATATATATATATATATACATATATACATATATATATATATATGTACATATACATATATATGTACATATACATATATATGTACATATATGTATATATATTTACATATATGTACATATATATGTATATGTACATATATATGTACATATATGTATATATATTTACATATATGTACATATATATGTACATATATGTAAATATATATACATATATGTACATATATACGTATATATAGTAGTACATATATATAGTAGTAAAATATCTGACAGTGTCTAATGTGTTAAAACTAGTTACGTAAGTTAAGCGTGAGATCTGACAAAATGAAAGGCACCAGAGCAGAGGTTTTTTTAATTGATATAATTTATTATGTACTATTGTGTGTCGTTTAGTCTTAGTAAATGCATTGACACAAAAACCTGTCATTTACAACATTTTGTTTTCTTAATTCAGTTCAAATCAGAAAATACGACTTTGATATTGAGAATCATAGAAATATCTTTTTAAAACGTGCTACACACGGAGAGAGGTCACCTGACCGACTTGACTCCATGTCGTTCAATTGGCTTTTAAATAAAACCATTCGCTGAGGAAGTAGTACGTGAACACAGAGAGAGGTCAGTTCACAGGCTGATCAACAGCCTCTGAACTCTCGTCTCTAATAACAGATCTATTCAGTCTGTTTCTAACAGCAGGAAGCTTTAAATACACACAGAACAATGTAAACTGCATTATGGACCTGTTTCAGTACAAGATGTAACACATTATTACCATCGATACCAGTGATTTTCATCACGTTACTGCTGGCCATCGTTAGCAGATCATGAGGTTCACGACGGTAAAAGTCAAAGTTGTTCAACGGAACAGTTAATTTTAAAACATATATATATATACATATACATATATATATACATACATATATACATATATATAGATATACATATATATAGATATACATATATATATATACATACATACATATTTATACATGTATACATTTGATGTATGTGTAAATATATTTATATGTATAGATATATACATATAGTGTGCATATATATATATAAATATATTATTTTAATTCATGAAGTGAAGCTTAAAATGTTCAGTGTCTTTAAAATGTACTGATAGAAATCGTTTTTAGCATTTTGATCTTCATTAATATTTTTCAATAAATTACATTTTATAAATTCAGTTCTTTTAAAAGTAACTGAACAATACTGTCAATAATGTACTAATATTTAAAAAAAAAAAAAAAAAAAAACAAGATTTTACCCGAGTCACTCAACACAAAAATGTACTGATAAAAATCGTAGCATTTTGATCTTCATTAATATTTTTTCAATAAATTACATTTTATAAATTCAGTTCTTTTAAAAGTAACTGAACAATACTGTCAATAATGTACTAATATTAAAAAAAAAAAAAAAAGAGACTTTACCCGAGTGAACCTCATCACCTGTCAACACAGCCTGTCGGAACACTGACTCTGAGACGTCGTCTCGTCAGATCTCGTCGTCTGTTTTTAAAAAAAGAAATAAAAACAGGCATTTTACATTATCTACAGCAAAACACAAATCAGATAAAGTACTTTATAATAAATACAACCACAGAGGATACTACACCAGTACACAATAGAATATATTGTGTACTGGTATACATATTTATATATATACACACACATATATACAGATGTGTATATATATACACACATACAGTATATATACATATACATATGTGTATATATACATATGTATATATACATATGTATATGTATATATACATATATACATATGTATATATACATATGTATATGTATATATACATATATGTATATATGTATATATACATATACATATATATCAAATGCAGTAGTATGCTAGTATCTAAAGAGAAGCTATAAATATAAAAGTATAAAACCAATATAATAAAGCCATATAAAAGTAGCACTATAATATATAATCCATGCACCTTGGCGAGCATGTCAGAATGGCTGCTCCTTGTATATATATATATATATATAAAGCCACAAGTAGACAGAAAACTTAATAAATAACTTTTTTTTTGTGCCGCTCAGCTAGAAATATTTGATCTTCATATACGGATATATTTATATATATAAGCAGAACTTTTTTTGGCCATTATATACAGAAAAGTAAAAAATTAACAGACTAAAAGAGACGGTGAGGTACTTCATCAAACCCTGTGTCAAATCACTCTGGACTGTTGAGAATTTAAATTTATGTCAAACTGTGCACTGGTGCAATAAAATAAAGCTACAACCTACAACGGATGTCATTGTTGTTATTGATAGAGTCAACGTTGGCACTTTAAAGGTGGCGTTTTTTCCTTGCACGTGTTTCTGTAGGTAGTCGTCATTTATCGTCTATTTATTTTACACGCAACTCTGTTCAAAATGCGAACTTTAAAAAAAACAAATTGATCCTAAGACCTGCTGCTACACAGGAGTGCAATTAGGCAACGTGTTCTTAGTAGCATTAGCATCAGCTGTACTTTTGAAAAGTCATTTCTTACATTAGAGAAATGCGTCGTCGCTCCAGCGCCGGCTGATTTCACATGGACTCCATCGTTCCGTGCACGCGGAAGCGGTAAAGGCACGTGTACTCGATGTGACCCCAGTTGCTGAGGACGCGCAGCTCCACAAACGTATGAACCTCCTCACTGGGTTTCTACAGAAGAGAACCACGAAGAAGAAGAAAAGACAAAGAGAAGGAGAATAAAGATCGGAGTTGACGACCAGCAGACTAAACTTTTTCTTTCTTCCCAGGACTCATTTACTCACCGTCAGCTTGAACGTCTGCGTTGAATCTCCGTTCTGATCATAAGTGAACGTTCCCAGCAGCGTTCCTTCTTCGGTGTCATTTTCCATTCCCTGGAGAAAAAAAAAAGGAAAAAAAAAACCACAGCATCAGACATGTGTCAAACATTCATACACTTTGACAAAAATCAAATTTTGTATATTTTCATAAAACAATCACAACATCTTTTCCTGTCAAATTTGGAATTTTTTAAGAAACATTTTCAGGTTTTTCCTGCCTCAATCACTGTGTCGATCACCAGCCAATCAGGTTTTAACACAACGCCATCTACTGGTTTTAAATAACAAATAAATGAACTTCAGACATGCAGATGAACCTTCAGTACAAAGATCCTGGTCCAAGTTTCTAATCTGGGAGAATTCACTCACGTAGACTTCGAAGTCTTTGGGGGCAGAGTCGATTCGGCCGGTGGGGGAGTTGTATCGAGGCAGGTGATCGAGAGTCACATGACTGATCCTCACTGGGTGAGACAGGGCGATGACGAGTGTTCCCTCCACACCGTGGAACGCCCAGCATTTCCCCGGAAGCAGAACTGGGAAACCCTGGAGGGAAAAGGTTTTCTATTGTCAAGACATTGAGGAACAGCCTGATGTTGTTGGTCTTCACAGAAGAAATAAAATAAAAACTTCTGCTCTACAACATTATAGATTTATATCTGTGTCTGAACTAAAGAATAAAAGTTAAAAAATGAAACTTTAAATGAATTAAATTGCATGTGTCGAGGGGGAGGAGGGTGAGTTTATAACCCGGGGGGGAGGACGGCGACTATCTTACTTGTATCGAGGCAGGTGATCGAGAGTCACGTGACTGATCCTCACTGGGTGAGACAGGGCGATGACGAGTGTTCCCTCCACACCGTGGAACGCCCAGCATTTCCCCGGAAGCAGAACTGGGAAACCCTGGAGGGAAAAGGTTTTCTATTGTCAAGACATTGAGGAACAGCCTGATGTTGTTGGTCTTCACAGAAGAAATAAAATAAAAACTTCTGCTCTACAACATTATAGATTTATCTGTGTCTGAACTAAAGAATAAAAGTTAAAAAATGAAACTTTAAATGAATTAAATTGCATGTGTCGAGGGGGAGGAGGGTGAGTTTATAACCCGGGGGGGAGGACGGCGACTATCTTACTTGTATAACAGTGCGTGGACTTTCTGACGGATACCAGAGAGGGAAACCAAACAGCGTCACACACGCTGATCGAATCCGATACGTTTCCGAACACCTGGTACTGACGACGCTGGCGCCTACACAAACAGAACGACGTACGAATGAACTCAGCGAGCGATAAATCGATCCAACTTTGTTGTTACACCGATGTATGACTGACCTTGAGTCTCTAGGGCAAAGTCTGCCATCTTGTCCGCCATCGGACGTCCACAGTCTGCGCAGCTTCCTGCGTCACGGAGCCTGAGTTCGTCCTGCTCCTGCCGCCAACAGTCGGAGAATGAAATTACATTCGATATAAATTAGTAAAAAAAATAATATTAACTTTTCAGGGAAAAGTCTAGAGAGTTCTGTTTGTCAGTGAAGCAGACTCTACCTTGACGCGCTGACTCAGCCACTTCTCCACGGCCTCTTGGAGCTCCGGTGTGAGACGGTCGTGGACGGAGTTGGACTCGGGACATGGGACAGGAGAAGGTGTCAGTTTGAGTGATGACAACTCCTGGGACAGCTGCAGGAGACAGTCAGACAAAAAAAAAAAAAAAATCACACATACGGTCCACGAGTAAACAGACGACTGGAGACGGTTTGTCCTCCTGCGTCTCACCTTACTGTTCTGTGCCTCCAGCGTCTGGATCCTGAGGGCGAGGCTGTCTGCAGCTGATTGGCTGAAGGTCTGAGTTTCTGACATTTGTCTGAGCAGCACAGACACCTCTTGTTTCAGACGCGTCTGACTGTTTGAATCCATGACCTCAAGTTTGACCTGCATGTCCTTCATGTGGAGTCTGGATTGTTCCGTCATCTGTCAGATAAAGACAGAGGTGGAGTCAAGAGTTCAGTCAAACAAAAAAAAAATACATTAATGATAACAAATATTCCTACTGTTAGGATTGTGCACCTTTAAAGCCAGGAGAAACATTAAAACCCAATGTCATACTGCGTTGTTTCCCATATCTCAACACTAGGTGTCACTGCTGCACATAAACATGATAACAAATGTTCCTACTGTTAGGATTGTGCACCTTTAAAGCCAGGAGAAACATTAAAACCCAATGTCATACTGCGTTGTTTCCCATATCTCAACACTAGGTGTCACTGCTGCACAGATTCACATTTATGTTCGCCCAACCATGAAAAACACATTTCACTGTTGGCAGAGCAACAAGATAAAAAAAAAGAAGAAAAAAAATAACAAGGAAAAGGAGGGGTTTCTCACCTGGGACAAAAACTGTTCCTGGTTTTTGTGCAGATCTTTCTACAAACACAACAACAAACATTAACAAAAACAAGACAAACACCTTCAGCTGCTGTTAAATATTTTTCATCTGTACAGTAGATGAGTAATTAGGTGAAAAAAAAAAAAACAGGAAAATGTTATATTTAGGTCCTTTTTTTTAAGGAAAAATAAACACGTTTAGTACTGACACTATAAACCAAAAGAGTTGTGATTGTTGATTTTAGAACCATGGCTGGGACAATCAGATAAGATTAAATTAGATTAGAATGTACTGTTTACTGCAACTCTTTAATGACTTAGTAAAAAAAAGAAAAAAGAAACTCAACAACAAACTACAAAATCTAAGAACAAAAAAAAAAGAATCCAGGTTATACTTTTGCATGACTTATGATTAAAAAGATTCTGTAACTATTTTCTGATTATTTGGAAAAAAAAAAAAAAAAAGATTCTTACCAGAACATTCGATCTTGGCCTCTACGACAGCAGACACGACGGCAGGATCCTGGTGGGACAGGAAGTTCAGTTTAACTAATCTGACACGTGGGACTCACTCAGTGTTTGACGTGCAGCTGATCTGCAGTTCAGTCCTACCACCACTGGTGCCTGACGGACGGTGCTGGGGTGAGGAGGAGGAGGAGGAGGGCAAGAAGGGGGAGGAGCGGTGGGAATAACAACGGGCCGACCGATGGGTGCGGTCGGTGTCGGGGTCTTTGTGGGTCTGATGCTGGAGATGATTGATGACAACACAGGAAGTAGGAACCAAATACCTGCAGAGAAAAGAAAGGACAAAGAAGTCAGAGCAGAACAGACACAGAAGGTACAACATGGTCACCCGTCAAACACTGGATCAAATTATATATTTAAAGTAAAATAAACTCATTTTATACTGCATTCACCATCGACATCATTTAAAGGTCAGTAGTTTTAAAATCTCTCTCAGCTTTAGTTTGTTTCCTCATTAAAGTCACTGACGACATTGATGAGCGAGAATTAGCTGAGAGTCACAGAAATATGTAGACTCATCTTTGGAGTTTGAGGGATGGAGGGGGGCAAATGTGGGGGCAAAAGACACTGGGCTGCCCCCCCTCCCCTCCCACATGTACATGTAATTCAGACCTAGAAGGTTTGACCACTTACATAAAAGTATGAGAATAAGGAGGAGCAACAGTCCAATCGCTTTCTTCATGCCACGGCTGAGTGAAGTGCTGGCTGTGAGAGAGAGAGAGAGAGAGGTAGGGAGGGAGAGAGAGAAAGGAAAACAAAGAGTTTTTTAATAAGCTGGAGATTTTGAAAAGCCGGTGCAGTGACTGTAGTCATGTGAAAAACAAGTGACTGTGTTGAAACACTTGGTAAACAACACACACATCTACAGACACATCTACAGACATACATTACCTAAAACCGACTGACTCGTCAGTCTTTTCCGTGCTGCTCCAGCCAACACTGAGGCATTATCTGAAACAATAACGAGAAAGAAAGGATTAAAATGACGTTTTCAATGTGGAAATAAAAAAAATTGGGTTAAAAAAAAAATACAGAGACGCCTAAATATTTCTTACCCTTCAGGTAAAGGAAGGTACTGCTGATTCTGCTCATGTAGTCAGAAGGTGCAACATCGCCGTCGCTGCTCCCTCTTCCTCCGCTGCAGGTTTTCTCCCTGGTCCCCTCGGAGGACGAGTACCCAGAACTGTCCACTCCACTTTGACTCAAATCCTCCTGGTGGGGTTTCACATACAACGCTGGCCTGTTGGTGGTGCTGTTCTTAGGGTAAGGGGTTTTGTCTGCTGGTGGAAGAGAGGAGCATGTGGGCGTCTGACTCCGGGACGAAGAGGGGGTCAGTGCCGGCCGAGGGGTGGCAGTGGTGAAAGATACGGTCCTCGTGACCGGCTGAGTCCGGCTGTGTGCAGGTGAAGGACTCGGGACTAAAAGACAAAGAGAAAAAAAAAATTCTACATTAAGGAATTACATTTTTGAAAAATATTTTTTAAAGCATCCAGTCCAAAGACTAGGATGAAGAGCTGAAGGTATTGATTATTATCAATTAATCTAAAGATTTATTTTTTTATTGGATTAAAAAGTATTTCATTGTATTTGCTTTAATATCATGGATGACAAATGTGCATTTTTTTCCCAGCATGAAGGTAAAAGTTACTGCAACTCATCTATGGCCTGATTATAAATATATGTATATTGTATATTATATTTGTGTTTGTATGTCAATGCGTGTTTTATATATGTGAACCTGAATAAAAATATAAAAACAATAATATGTTTTTTTTGTTTTCAATAGAGTTATAATTATAACAACTCATATTTACTATGGTTAAAAACACAAACTTTCTTTACAGACGTTGGTACAAGGAGCACTACAGTATACACTCAGGACAAGGCCATGAGTATTACAGTACAAATGTAGTACTATTCTGCAGTACTTGCAAATTTCATTAGCCTTTTGTAAGAAAAATAAAAACAAGAAAATTCTATGTATTTCTGCAAAGATACTTTTAGGTCTAAATAAAAAAAAACTGGAATAATATTGTATACAAAATTTATATATTTTTTTAACTGATTAAATTACCGTCGGCCTGACCTTCAGGGCTGAGCGGCGGCTCCTGACTGGGTGAACTGTTGGACGTACGGGGGCCAGACTTGCGGGTCCCTGCCTTTTTCTTGAAAACTCTACAGGTGCAGAAACACATCAGAAACAGAAGGAGGCGCCGGCATTAGAGAAAAAAAAACTGTGTTAAACCTGTGGGGCTTTTTTTTTTTTTTCTAACAGTCAACTACTCACTTGACAGGGTTTTCACGGTAGGAAATGTTGGTCACGCTGCTGGAGTCAGACTCTTCATCTGAATTGTAGTAACCGCCAGAGACCAGGCGAGAACTTCTACGAGACATGACTGAAACAACAGAGAAGAAAGAAAAAAAAAACACAGGATTACTCACCTGTACTACAGTATAATGGTACTATGTTTACAGTACACACACACATAGTAATGTCTGCAAGAAAGATTTATGCATTGGATCCCAAAATAGGGTGCGTGCCACTCTGGGGGGCCATGCAGCTACTGCAGGGGACAAACAAAAATTTCTATATTTTCCGATTCTATATTTGTTGTTAATCCTCCAAATTGAAGAAATTGAAGAAATGTTTGAGAGATGTTTTGTTTTAAACATAGATCAGTGAAGTTTTGTTCTAAATCCAACTGTAACTGTGAATATTTACATTACGAAAAGCCAATTAAATACAAATGAATAAATTATTTTATATTACCGTAATAAAATATTTTAACCTTATGAAACTATTTTTTTCACAGACAATCCCAATATTTTTTTCTTTGTTCCATATTTGATATACATACATATATTTTCATGACATCAGCTAATTCTTTTCAGTTTAATGTATCTACTTCCTGTGAGATTATTCTAATAATCTGTGAACAATTAATTTTTTCAGAGAATAACAAAAGGTACATTTCCAGAGATTAATCTTAAAAATAGGGTTAGGGTTAGGTAACGTAAACATAATCCCATCATTTATAATAAAATGCAGTAATTGAACAAAAACACTTTAACTCCAAACTCTTGAACACATGCTCAACATGATAATCTTATCCACCTGTAATCCAGGCTAATCTGCAGAAACCGTTCTGCTGCTGTGACGGTGAATCCACCAGACTAACAGAATGTGAACGGGACCACACCCAAAGTCAGTGTTAAATCGATCAGTCACATAAACACACACAAAGCAAACGCACATCACGGCATACGATCACAGATGACAAAATAAAAAAGATTATCAGATTAAAATTTTCTCTTTTTTCCCCCCAAAGTTTACAAAACAGATAGAGGTTGGTACATATCTAACGTATACAGCCATATATTCAAACGTATTACAAAAAAAAAAAAAAACCTAGCGACTGCAGGCAGCGCCTCTGTTCAACAACGACCGACTCTGGTGTCATGAAAACGCACTGACCTTTAGATTCTTCACTGCCACCAGTGGAGTGAATTCACAGTGTATCCAGTGATGTCTGTCTGTGAGGCTTCACCACTAAAACAACCAGCCGTAGAAATGGAACCAACTACAGGAACAGACTAACTCACTAACTCAGTGAACTCAGTGAAAAGGGCGGCAGAGAGTGACAGAAGGGGAAGCTGCGGTTCTGCACCTTGAAGATAAAGCCAGGAAGTCACTGTGACAGTACACGCACATGCAGAGATGTGCCCTCGCCCCCCCCGACACCACACCACCGCCATAAAGAACGTGGCGCCTCGTTTCACTCAGGCACAGCCGAGACACGTTTGTGAGATTAGAACAAGAATTGACAAAAAAGGGATTTTTTTTAATTTACTTTATTTAACTGCACGTCTGATAAATTTGCAACGAATGTTTAATTCTTTTAAATCCCTGCGTTCACCGCCAGTCACCTGATCATACAACCTCAACTTTGACTAACTTAAAGACACACAGACACTTAAATGTCTCTGGCTTTTTGTCCTCTTAAAAATGATTCTGTTTCTATTTATAGAAAATATACACATTACATGAACTGCTGGCTGACTTGTACTGCACAGTCGTGTACTGCGTATATATAAAACGGCCATCTCTGATATTCGCTTACTGTGTTGTTTTAAAAATGTCCTTGTGTATCTGAGTGGTCTCTACAGACCTACAGACAAAAAACAAAAGAAGACATTCATACATTTGTGTCGAGTCCTGAGGGAATCATGTGAACAAAGAGAAAACAGACTGGTTTATAACCCAACAAACTGAGAAAATCCTGAGAGTCTGGACCGCGACCCCGTCTCCATCGCAGCAATATGCTATTGTGAAATTAAATATTGAGATATTTCAGTGTATAAATATTTTGTTGTTACGCGCCTACTGGAAACAGTGGGAACTATAAGCCAGTCAAAATAATGTTAAACTGAATTATGTCCAATTAGGAGTCAAACTATTTTTAAAAACAATGATATATACAGTATAAATATATATAAATATAAACATATTAACAGTTTAGCTCTAAGTGACTGAGCTGCTAATTTATCGAATATCAGATTGTAATTTTATTTACACAGTAACCAGTTCATCAGTTATTCAAATTATTGTCATATTTCCATTATAGTTTAACACCAAACTGTCAGCAGCATTGACATGACATCAGCAGATTATCATTTAAAGTAGCACAGATTGTTGTGGTGGTATGTGGTGGGCTGGACTGGGACAGCAGCTGGGACTGGTTCAAAATTCTGACTACTCACACTGGCAAGACACAAAGACAAAGGCCTGCTTGACTAGTGAAGGAGGGGAAATGGAAAAAAGAAAAAAGAAAAAAAAGAAAACCACCAAAATGCCAATACGATGCCAAAAAAGGAAAATTATGCAGAAAGAACGTTGACATGTTAAAACAATGAAGTGAATGCACGTGTTATGATTTATCCATGTTACATAGTGTGTTAAACCAAGGTAAAAAAAAAAAAAAAATATTAAAGAGACATAAAAAGGTACGAAAAACTGAAGGTAAAAAAAAAGAATTCAACTAGAGACAGAAAAAGGGGCAAAGAATGTTGGGAAAAAAAATACCACAATTGCCTAGCAAAAAATGTTAGCACTGTAGCCAACGTGAAGAGAGTGCCAGTGTAGACAGTGCCAGTGTAATATGATTCAAACATACTGAGCAGATGAGTCATCTGTGGGCACTGGCCTTAGACAAATCATCCCAACGCCCATGTAAAATAGCTGCTGAAAATAACACAATAACTGCAGTTGTTGATGGTACAAACCAACTACCTTATATACCTGGTCGGTTTGTACCTGTGTGAACTAGATGTTTTGCCGCCTTCTCTGTGCAACTAATAACTACCGTTATTTAAATATACTACATTTATATTTAACCGAGTACTGTTAAATAATATCAAATTAAGATAAAGGAAACAAATGGAGTTCGTTTATGTAAGTTAAAAACCTACTAAAAGTAAAACGACATAAAAATCAGTGTCTGTTACGTCACGCTGAAATGTTTGCTAAAGCTAGCGTACGTTTTACTGGGAACAGGTTGATTTTACAGCCTCCAACATAAACAAACATGGCCGAGTTAGAAGAAAACAAATAAAAGTTAAGTACACTCAGCTTTAATGTTCGAAACTGTAACTAAAACACGGATATGTACTCACTGTAGTACTGACAGAGTCAAACAAACCAACACAAACAACAGCATTTAATATGATTCAAACTTTACAGGCCCGAGACCCTGAACGTCACTTGGGATCAACTGAACTGATTCATCACAATTACAAATAAATAGATAAGTCTTTGTCATGTTGCCAGTAAAGATTGTAACTAAAATGTAACTAACTTTGCAAAAAGTTGAATATCGCAATACTAGAAAATGGCAAAAAAAGAAGGCATTTTAAGTAGCATTTATATGTTGCGGAATAGTTGTGTACATCATAACCAAGTCAAACATGGTCCATGAAAGCAACGCTTGATTAGACCAGCATCAGCATCCTGGGAATTGCACCGTCAACTCAACTAATATCTGTCAAGACTACGATTCAAGACCCAAAAAACACTCTGAATTGTTAAAAAGGACATTAAACATGTTACTTAAACTCACCTCTTCTGTGTCGTGGAGTTTTAGCTACTGTGAAGCCTCGACTTGGTCACTCGGTTGGAGCTGCCGTTCAAGTTCTCAGCCAGGAACGTAGTCATTTCTTCTGCGGTAATAAACCACGGTTACTGGAGCATAGTCTCTTGGTTCCACTGGTAGTTTACAAAAATAATAACTTATTTACTGCAGGATTTCCGTGTCAGGAGCTGCGGTAGATGACATTACTCCCAGCACTGACGCCAAGTTTAAGGAAGCAACAGCGGCGCCGCGGTTCACGCCGCTACTAATGTTGTTGGTAGTAGCAGAGTGAAGCTAGCAGGATCTACTAGCGACTTCCGGGTTTGCTTTACAAAATGAAAGACTGTAACTCATCCTCTGCCGCATAAGGCCTAACGTTACGTACAGTACAAGAGTTATACACCCGGATGTACATTTTATTTTGGTACTGGCCGGGCCGCCCATGCTTCCGATTTTTTATTCATGTTATTTTTAGTCTTATTACAACCAGAAGCAAGTTCAAAATTATACAAAGTATGATCACTTTTTTTGTTAGGGCACATTTTAACACTTTAAAACATTAAACATTAAAATGTGTGTTAATTAAAAATAAATAAATAAAATAAAAATAATTAAAATAAACTTTGAAAGGGCACAACCACGGACCCGAAGGGCAAAGGGACAGGTTCTACAGCACCGCCTAGTGACCATGTTTGCGTCGTGCAAACATAGTCACTAGGCTTGGTTAAGAGTTGAATATAAGTATTCAATATTTAAATTCCCTGTGTGTATTTTAGGTTTTTGCATTAAACCTTTGTATTAAATACAACGGCCCATAAAATATTTAGGAACATTTTTTTCTTTAATTTTATTTTGGTGTTTTATTCTACGTTATTTTTTCAAATTATTATGCACACGTCTAAGGGAATGATGTGGCGCTGTCCCAGCCAAACTCTTTCCGGTGTCCTGCATGACACAACATCCTGGCAACGGTATAAACGCTGGCCACCACTGACGTGCAGCGTTTGTTTCTTGGGCTGCTTATTGACATTAGAGGAACGCCAGATGGCGCAATTCGGCCAGAAATGGCTGCCTGTGTTGGTGTCGGCAACCGACCCTTATACAGTACAAATGCAGCGTCATCCATCAATCTGCCCCGCTGAACTCCTGTGTCTCCCCTGTGACATACGTCCTCACAGCACCCCTGCAGCAGAACATTCTAGATACTTGTTTACTCTGCTGACATTTATTAGTCCCCGGTTTGGCCTCCAGTCAAACAACATAAACAGTGTCATAAATCGCTGATATTTTTCTCATCCAATTCACGTGCCATGTTTTACACTTTAATTTGCACGTTATACTCAGGTTGTTTGTTTTTTTATTGATTTATTATTATATCTATTAGCGTTCAATCAACTGCATATTATGCTGAATTTAATTAATCGTGCTATCCATCATCTCCATAATATATGCTGCTGTAATATTTTTTCTATCTCTGTGTATGCACATAAAAAAACATATTTAAAAACACAGCTGTACTTCTGAAAACAATATGACACATAACTGGCAAAAACACTTCTTAAAAAAAAAAAAAAAAAAAAAGCTTGATGTGACCTTAACACTGGACAAACTGGGAGGGAGAACTCCTTTTTTTTTTTTGAGATTAGAGGACAAAAATATGGCTGGTATGTCCGGACTGTTACATATTTAATGAATAATTTCAGGAGGTCTGGAGACTATCGGCAGCACACGCGGGGCCCCCTGACCCCAAAGCCCGGCCGACACAATTGCTGTGCGGGTACCGTGCATGAACATGTTTTCTTGGAGCTTCGTGTATTTATGTGCAGTTGAACCCATTGTCTCTGAGTCTGTTATCATTATGCAGCAGTTTCCTCCGGCTGCTGTGAGTGGTGAAGGTGGGGGGGCGGGGGGGACTTAACGGTCTGTCGCTCAACAATGAAGAGTCTACAGACTTGACAAGCTCAACACTCTGACTCTCAATACTTTCCTTGCTTCACTTTGACATCCAAAACACACACACACACACACACAGGATCTCGCCTGGCTTATCTGCCAAGCTGCTGCCCCAGACGCAGCTATGTTACGTAAACAAACAGCTGACATCATGGGCACACACACACATGTGCGCGCACACAAACACAAACAGCTTTTTTTTTCTTTTTTCCTCCCAGGGCTGAAGTCACTGGGCTGGAACGGGTTCAAAGCTCTGAGAGTAAGTTAGTGCTTCAACTTGACAGAGAGTTGGAGCGGTGCAGCAGTGGACGTCTCAGGCAGGCAGACAGACAGACACATCTATAGACGGTGACACACACACAGATGTACAGCGTCTGAGTCTACAGTGGCAGTGGCTCTGCCCTGCAGGTGTGCACACAGTAGACGTTGTGTAACGATGGTTATTTACACTTGATAACATCCGCTTGGATTTTTTTTTTTATTATTCTAACAGCTGAGGTTCAGGACTGATAGCTAAGCCCTTAGTCACCAGCTGTAGACAGAGCAGGCGCAGTGGAACCAGGGTTAATCACACAATCAACTTCCCAAACACAGCGTATCGCTACAGTATCTCAGGGAAATTTACACTACGAGGTCAAGACCCTATAATGTTACGATACAGGAAGGTAGCGGTTCTCGGACCGGCAACTGAACAAGACTGTAGTGAGAGAAGAAGAAACAAACCAATAATAATAATAATAATAATCGTAGTAAAGACACATTATTTATATCAGGACCAACATGTAGTTTTAAAAATGTTCTTGATCGGTTTAACAGACAGTGATCGACGGTGTCCTGGACTTGGACCAGATCCAGGGTCTGGATCCAGGGTCTGTGCCTTGCTCAAACCTGCCGTCTCACGTGTCTTTCGCCCCATTTATTCTGGGCCATGTTCACTAAATATTTTATTCCCCAAGTCTGGTGACGAGCTTAAATTAGATCTGGGACGGAGTCCAGACCTCTTTGGCTTTCACCAAAATACCCTTCACATTCATCACTCACCCACCGCAACACCGTACTAACGCAACACACACCAGTCACACGATCACCAGCTTTAGACGTTTTTCTATACATACAGTAACATTCTTTAGCACAGGTGTGTTCAATATCTGGCTCGCGGCCCTCTGAAGTGCCAAACTCCATCGGGTGGTGAAGCGATTCTTTTTGTGCCATGATTTTCCACATAGGATTAAAATTGTTGATATTTTCATTTCCCAGGATGCCGAGTGAGGCGTATCGTGAGAATCGACGTGCATTATGGGAGATGTAGTTTATGGGAAATGTTCTGGAATAGAACTGAGAGTTAGAGAATTGTGATTCACTGACAATTAAACTGTAGACTTTTATTTTAATGTTGACGGATAATTGAGTTAGACTGATGGGGCAGTTTCTACCTCGTACATTTGTGAGACCAACTTTATTTTTCATGTCTCACTGACCATGATGTAGCCTGATGAGTGATGTAAGTTTCCTCCAGTTTCCCTTCTGGATGACTATTGGAGGAAGTCCAAACTGAGAGCAGTTTTCCCAAAATACATGAACTTCTGCGGAGAAAGCCAAGGGCATTTTCACCGTTAAACACTGTTTTTCCTGTGAGGAAGATGATGCGATCTGACCTCTGTCTGTTCTGGAATGTTCTGGATGGAATAAACAGGATGGATTTTCCTTCCACGGCAGCCAACAGACGTTTTCCGTAACGAGGTCTACATGAAGGGAAGCACAGACAACGCTGTTCTGAATCACCGGCGTTCCCATTGTAAATCCTTCTTTATTAGTCACCAGACCTGTTGACATACCTAGTGTGGAATGGAGGGAATGATCCTTCTGCTGGATTTTCCCTTTTTATCAACACGTGCAACTTTTCCCATGGTTAGCTAAAGTTGCTGCGAGCCAAACAAAGGAGACGCCTCTTCTACTGTAGCGTGGGCTCGGGCGCAGAGAGTGGCTGAATAATTCAATCATAAAAAAATTAAATAAATCACTTAACTAAGGGATCAGAACATTCAAGGTGGATTTATACGTCCCCCTGCAGGGTGGAAGGGGGAGTTACATGCTTGGTGTTTGCTGACACCAACAAGAATTCCAACCAACTCAAACTCCAATTTTTTTTTACACATATTTAAGATTGTGACATTTCGTTAATTTGTCACAATTAAAATGAAAAAAAATGACAAAAACAGTAAACAGTGGTAGAAAATAAATGAAATACATATAAATGCGATAAAAATATTTCTCATGATTAAATGAGAAGCGAAGTTTAAAACCAAGAAAAAAACAAGAAAAAAAAAAAACAAAAAAAAAAAACGAGGAGCAAAGTTTAAAACCAAGAAAAACAAAAACAAAAACACCGTGATGGTAATATAGGTCATGGATGGGACTAAACTACGTGACATCACCATCAGCATGGCACACATTCTAATCTGATGAGCCACCACAGTTGCCCGTGTGGCGAGGCTTAGAGCTTCAGGCCAGTGAAGGCAGCTTTAATCCGTCAGAGCGCTGACCTCATCGTCACGGCCGCGTCGTCGAGGTGAGTCAGCCGCGTCTGCGTGTGAGAGAGCGGGCAGAGCAAGAGGGGCGTTGTTGTCACGCACCTTTACCTGCAGCATGAACCGTAGCCAGAAACGCCAGCGTGCGAACGGCGTGTATGATCTTGTTGAGAAATATTTTTTTTATTTTCTTTGACTTCTCTTTCATGGAGACAAATGATAATGTTTTCAGTTCAGGCTAAGAGAATTACTTCCCAGTCTGACTTTGACAGTCCCTGCTGGTCAACTGTGGTACTGCAGCCTACATTTCTGGTCAGCTTGACTAATGTATTTCGACTAAGGCAACCTGCTTATAAAGTAGTATATTATATTTTAAGCTAATTCAGACTTTCACATGTTTATTTGATTTTCTTTGTAGAAAATAAATACAAGGATCTGCAAAACGTGAACACAATGATGCTCTCAACAATAAGTTGCACGGATGTTCTAATGATTATGTTTCTGAAATGTGTTAATATGGGTATAATTACCCATAATTCAACAGTAGGTCTCCACCTGTTTTGTCGTCTTGCTGCTCATGTGAATTTGTCCTAGTTTTCACCCTCGACTCAGGAGACAGTTTCAGTTTGTGAGGTTAAACATAAGGACACCGGTCTCTTTACGCACTGGTACAGTCACACAGGAAAGGCTGTGGGAAGTTTGGAGCTGGGGGGGGGGTCAACGCGGCGGTGGTTCACTCTGCTGAGACGTGACTGTTTCACTGGTGAAGCAGTTCACGTCTTGGTGGGACAATCTGAGGAAGTGAAGACGACGTCGGGCAGACGTGTCCTTTTAAGGATCTTCGGCTGCGTGAAACCGTGTTTGTGTTTTTTTTTTTTCTTCTTCCCCATCTCTCCCTCCTTCCTACACCTGTGATGTCACAGATGGACATTCCTCACTGGTGAGGCTGCCGAGGTTAATAAGTGACAATGTCTGACCAGGACTTATCGACACACACACACACACTGTCCACAACTCTATCTCAAGTAGAAAACACACACATTTCTACCCCCAGTTTTGAAGAGACTCAGTGACGTAATGTTACGCCTCAATCGTTGTCACCACATGTGAATCAACCGACAGTCTCACCTGTAATCACGGGAGAGCTGGACTGTCCTACGGTCCCTGAAGGTGTTTTTATTGACTGCTGAGTCTGGATCTGCTGGAGACAAAAACAAAATCATTATTATGTATTTACACATTTCTCATTGTGCTGGAAATAAACCAAACATGAGTTTCACCTGTGAAAAGCAAAAATATAAATAAACTTTACCTACTTATTTACCTTTTTTAATATAATATAACTGAAAGGTCAATTAAGGCAAGAGCTGTTTTTTTAATGCTTTAGTGGCTTTTATAATTAAATTAAATTGACTTGTTTTCTGTAATCTGCAAATGATTTACGATTCTTTGATTAGTGACTTTTTCAGACGTCTCTCTACGAAAACTGGAAATGAGATGTACATATACAACTGGAGTGACGTCCGTCCAGATGTTTAGGGACACCTAAACGCCCGGCTCCCAAACACTTGAAAAGTGCAATTAAAGTCTTTTTATCCAACTGTCTGTAATTTAGTCGTTAATTATTTCAGCTGCCATTTTGCAACAATGCGTTTTGTTTATTTTAATAATTAAGTTGTCACAGTTTCTGAAAGGTTTCTCACCTCACAAATCAAACGTTGGAAGAAGTCTGACAGTCAGACAACATGGTGGGGCAGATGTGTCGCGCTGCCTTTAATGTCAAGTCAAATCATTTCTATAAATGTGAGATGATGAATGACTGATGACGGGGGCGGGGTATCAGGTTGTCTTCGGTCGGACGCTGACTGACAGACCGTCTCTCTCTACAGTTATCACCCAAGGGAGGAGACAGATTACAATCATACCCAAGTTCTGAAAGCACATTGAAGCACACTTCTAGCTTCAGGCTAATGTTGCGCTGGAGTTTCTACATGTTAGGGAGCTACAGTGACAACAGTAACGAGGGGAAGGTTTCTCCCCGCTCCACTTTGA